AATAAATAAATAAATTTTTATATACATGCTCCCAGTGAGGAAAGTGTGCTTGTGTCCATTTTTGAAATGCATAATTTCACTATGACAAACATTCAAATAGGCACATCTCAACATGGGTGCAAGACGCAAACTGTGCTGCCTGTTCAAAGACTGCAAGCTGTGTTCAGATCCTGGTTTTGTGAATAGGTTGAGTTTATACAGTAGTGTGAATCCAAAGAATATATGTAGAGATAAAACATATCTAAATGTTTTTTTACAAACATTTTTCCCAGCTAAGGGTATTTACTGTACTTCTCCAAAATGTTCTCAAATGTCGGATTATAACCGCTATTATCTTAGGTCTGCATGACTGCACAATGTACATTATTCCTGAAGAGTAGCTAGTTGGAGAAGGCTAACATAAGCCATATGAAAATATAATACACAACATTAAGAGAAAAAGATATTGGTCAGAATCACATATTAAACTAGGGAAGTGGCTCACAACCTTGGATCTCCAGATATTCTTGAATAAAACTTCCCAAAGTCTTGGCTGCCACCAGTGCTGGCCAAGACTTCTGGAAGTTATAGTCCAAGAACATCTGGGGACCCAAGGTTGGGAGGGGAACAAATGAACTAAAGGAACCATAAGTTCTGTGTGCATACTTAAGTGGACCTCCTGGAAAAGACAAAGACAACAGAGGCTCCAGAGGCAACTGGAACAACGCTGCACAGTTATTAAAACTGGGTCAGAACCTCCAGTGTCACTTCCTTGGTCAGTCAGCAGCCCTCTTGGCTCACTGAAGGAGGGACAATGATGAAGCTTCTAAACAGAAGTACTCATGCCAGGAAGTATTGAATGCCTATTGCCAAGAGCTTTTGAGACGTTATGCTGCTCACATCACCAGAATTGCCCAAGTATATAACCCCAATAAGGTTGTAGATATAAGGTGGGGTCAAATTATGGATGTGTACTATTAAGATGACCTGTAGATATATACTGATGTACTCTGCACCTGTAGCTTGCATGGGACCCGTGGGGCTGATGGGCACAGACGATCAAGCAGCCCATCAATTTCCCACCAACAGAAGTTTTACTCCCTTAAACTGTTTTCTTTTGCAAGCTGTGCTCACACAACTCAAACAGATATGGGCCAGGGAGGGGCAACAAGTATGCTAAGAGGGAACAATATATATGCACAGATGAGAACTTTGATGGGGAGATGTAAACGTGACCATACAAGAGACTACATATGAGATAGAAAGTGGCTCTGTATGATTATATGTACTCAGGTTATGCGCATCAGCATGCAGTTTACAGACAGGTTCAATAAGTATGAGCCCCCAGTCTATTGTATTACATATGCACATACATCTTTTGGAACAATAGCTATATTAGTACATAATTCATTACATGTGACTACTTGTGGGGGCAGAAGGTGCAATGATTAGCATTAAACAGAGAAATCTGTTAGGAGCTGGAGATTTAAAAGTGAGGAGAGTGACAAAAGCAATACATAAATGATTCACACCAGCCACGGGAAAAGGCAAGGTAGAGGGGTGTGTATGTGGTTCTTTCCCTTTTTATACTCCAAACATGGTCTAAAACAGAAAAGTTGTCCTACTGTATTTGGTTCAGCCATCTGTTTTATGTTTTGGTGTTTTTTTAAATTGTTTAATTGCTCAGCATTGTGAAAAGTGTTGTAACATTAGATCAGGATGCATACTTCTGTGTGTGCACATATATATGCATATATATGTATGCACTGTATAATAGTTCCATCATGAAAGAGGCGCTCAGATCAGTCCTAAAGCAGACTTCAGCTTGCCCTTACTTTGCATAAGGAACGCCCTGCTGGGGTTTAATGCTACCTACCACTGGTGAGAAAGCTAGCCATCAGCAGCAAGCTTTCCATTCATTAAGCAACATTGGGCATTTAGGATTTTACCACAGTCTTAAAAACCCGATGCAGCTACCAATCTGAAATGTATTATTTAAATATATGTTGTATCAATTATCCATTAAAAAATAAGTCACACTGTAGTTTTTTTCCCCTTCTACAACTTAAAGTAACAAGAAATTATTTAGGAAGAGAATCAAAATTTATAATGTTCTAGTCTGCAATCATAATATTCTGCTCCCATTTCAAACAACAAGTTTAACAAGAAAGGAAAGTCAAAAGGATGCATAATCTATAGATATGCATGAATGTGAAAATGCACAATATGGTTTGCAGCAGTGTAGGAATTTGTCCATGCCAATTTACTGCCCTATCAACTTCTATCTCAGTATAAAAGGCTGTTTCAGTGGCAAACATTACACATGTAATGCTGCATCAACTGAGACATCTCCTTGTTAATTAAGACACCTTTGCTAGAATGTAAGCAATCCATTATCAACCCTGCTCCTCAGATCCCACATTTAGGAGTGATCATTTAGTTTATGCAAGGCACTAACCAGGTCTGTTGAGCCTAAACCCTGCCGTACATCTATTGTTAATGCTTCACTAAGACAACAATCACTACAGAAGATTAGTAAGCTGTCTTTTAGAAAATCTATGTCTGATTAGTGTCACCATGTTAGGTCACACAAATACCATGCATAATAGGCAATGAGAAAATAAAAGAGGAAGAGGGACCCTGAATCAAGCAGTGATGCTTAAGTTACACTTTTTCAAGCAAATGCATACTGACAGCTTATAGAAGAAAAGCATGACAGGGCAAAGTTACAAATTACCATTATTTAAGATAATAAAGAAAATCATGTGGATACATAATAAAAAGTAAAGATGTTTTTAAAATATATATATCAGAAGCATCCAAAAGCAGACTGCTTCATATGTAGTATTTTAAAAGTTAAATAAAGTCAAATTGTATCATAAAATTCTCATAGCTTAGCAGTGTTCATTGCTAAAAATGTATTTAATAACCTTAACTGATATACAGTGAAACTGGCATTACAGTATTACTAGCAAGCATAGCGCAGAAGTACCAGTAGAGTCAAAGTAACTTGGACTGTACTTGGGCTTGTATAATATCCTTAATATGCAAGACCTGAACAGGGCTGCTATGACAAAATCCTCTGGAAGTCATTAATTAATAAGATCTCCATAAGTTAGAAACAACTTTTTGACACAAACAACACACTTTGGTCTTCTCTTTACGTTCATAAGTTTCCACAGATGCCTTCTTGCCTGCATATACTTTAATGTAATATTTTCTTTTTCATCGCTTCATTTTTTAAAGCATTTTCTTGGGGGGGGGGCTATTGAGGGTGCTTTAAAATGAATCCAAACATACAAATCAAACCACCAATCCATCATGTTCTGCTTCTGAACGCATGCACGGCTGTGGAAGCCTCTGAATTAGTCCAAAAGTTAGAGAAGGAAAGATCCAGCAAAGCAGCAAATCTACAGTGGCTCTTCCTCAGTTATGAGTTTCCCCAATTGCAGGGCTTCGCCCTCTCCTAATAATCACGTTCTGAAACTTGCATCTGTCTCAAATTCCACAAACCTAACGCTTTTCTCCATATCGACCTCTGCCTGCTTACAAAACAAAGTGCTCAGCAAAAAGGCTGGACTGGCTGCTGTCAGTATAAACACTCCCGCCTGCTTCCCTGCCAAGCACGGTTGCCCCGCTGCAAAAGCAAGCAGCTCGGATCCCAAACAACAGCAGCAACTCATTTTCTGCCTACTGCCCATCCATCAAGGGAAAGGAAGGTGTACCATCCGCCACCCGAGGAGCCACCGCGGAGGGGAGCAGAAGTTTCCTTGTACTGTATCTGGGTGTGCAGTGCAAAGGCAGCGAGAGAGACCGGCCAGCATCCGCCAGCGCTCCCGCGTGCGCCTCCCTCGCTCTCTCGCCCGAACTCGCCCCTCACGCGCGCTCCACCTGAGGGCAACCGCTCAAACCTTTCCGGCAGCCCCGGCTCCAATCCAACGGGTCCGTCTCACACACACACACACACACACCCGGCGGTTCCTCCGTCTCGTTCACATGGACAACTTATCTGGCGCTTCTTCCCACCGGCTGGGAAGCGGAGGAGGCGCGACCAGGAAGCGGCAGGGAGCCACCTGGGTCCCGGCGCCCCTCACCTGGTTTCCCCCGGTCCTGCCCGCCGCCCTTCGGGGCTTCCTCTCCTAGGCCCGGCCACAGGGGGGGGCAGCCCCTTTGCTCGGGTCCCCACCATTTCGCGTAACAGGTCAGGGAGGGCTCGGCTGTCAGGCGGGTCCCCCCCCTCCTCTCCTCTCCCTCAGCCCCTCGTCCCAGTCACTTCCCAACCCAGGGATCCCTTCCAGCCCAGTGTGGGGACTTGCTTGCTCCGGAAGGCGGCTTGCCAGGGCTAACGGGGTCCTTGTCCCTTCTCC